TTTTTTTTATCCATTTGCGGAATGATTTTCTAAGCCTCATTACGCTTGCAATAGTCATTTGTGTTACACTAAAAGGACTTCTGACTCATTTAGAAACATAATTTTTGCCGTTTGCTTTGGTTTCCATACATTGTTATGGCAACATATTGGATTTCTTATGTGTTTTTTGCCATTCATCGTACAAATGATGAGAAATTTACTGTGCAATTACTTCCCCCTCATTACACTCACGTTAAAAGTAAAAGTTTTGGATTGTCTAAAACCACTATTTTCATTTCCTGTCGTTGTCTTTCTTCTGATGCTCCTGAAAATATTGAATTCTACTACCTGTTCACTGTTTATTTTGATTATTAGAGAGAAAATTTACCGTGTAATTTTTCAAGCCAAATCACGCCTACTGAGCTCTTTCAACAAAGAAGATCATTAACTGAAAGTATCCTTTTTCAAGGGTTGACAGTTTCATTGATTTCTATATGATACCTTGTCAACATAATGGGTCGCCATATTTGATATGTGGATCCGTTAGCCGCTGTTCTGAATGAGCTCTAGGTGACACTAATAGGGTGTATACCACCAGTTGATCCATGGATTAACTAGTCCACAGATCAAAATGGCGCAAACCTGACGATGGATTCCCGACGTCCAGCAGGGGGAGAGCAATTCAATCTCAGCACACTTACATGTGGATCGCGCCATATTTGATCCTAGGAATTTTTGCCAAAACGTCAACTGGACATGCAGTTGTGGATTTTGTACTTTTATCAAAATGTTGTATGTATTTTCACAATGTTGGTATTTTATTTAGAGCTACAACTTGCCATTTCCAATGCCAAAACTGTGAATTGCTGGTGTTGCAGGGATCTTTCTGTATAGAGGTTTACAATTAAATTTATTGAAAGTTTCCATATGGATGGATAAAAAGGAAAAAAAATTACAGGGACTAAATATATTTGTCCATTTTTACTTCTGAATCATTACATGAGTTCCCTTTGATGGTGCTGAACCTTTGTTCTGGCTGTTTCGTCACTGGAGATTACTAAATTACTCGAGAGTCCCCTGTCTTATTTCCTCAAAATTAATGGTACTTACAAATCAAAATATTTGATGTCCCTCAGTGATGCTAGCTGTTTATCTGGTTATATGTACAAAAACAATGAGAGAAATATCTGTGATTTCCTAAGTTGTTTATCTAAGAGCATTAACTGAACTTGCCTATTAATTACCTGCAGAATAAAGTTGAGATTTCATCTAAATATTTTCTCAGGACACCTGTTTGTTTCTACATGGACTTTGTGTGGGCTTCAAAAGATTTCTTTCTTTTCATTCAAGTATAGATTTCCTTTTGCTTTTCTAAAGCATTCTTCAGGACATTTGAGATCCATCAGGGCCGCGTCCAGATTACTCGAACTGCATCAATTTTGTTCTCATACTTGAAAACCCATAGCTCATCCAGCTATTTTATCTCATAATTTCCGCAAGAACAGTGACAGTAATTACTCGGATTTTTCTCCATTCCTTTATCTTGGAGATTTCCAATTCTGCCTGGGTGACTTCCATTGATTGCTATGGCACATTTGCCTGAACATTAGGTTCTTATCTGTATTCCCCTTGGTACAGGCTATTGAACTCAATCACCGTTTTTCAGTTGCCAAGAGTCCCACTTGAATTGAGTGTCCTGCACCCCATTTCAGTGGTGGACTTGGGTACCCTCTCGTCCACCCCACCCCTCTACCCGCACCCTCTTCCACCCCGTTATTAGCCTTTAATTAACATAAAAAATTGACAAATCATGCTATTACCTAACGTGAAGTCTAAATTTTTTTTAAATTAAAAATCAATTGTTTTATACAGTATTTCAACTTTTTAATTAATTGCCTGATGATTGGCTTACTTTTCATTGCAAGAAAGACGATGAAATTATACTGAGTGCCCAGTTATTTAGATTGCCTAATTATGGTAGCCACTTGAGTAGAGCTGAAACACAATATGTGTCATAAAAATAGGATGCCTTTATCAGAGTCGCAGAAGAACACTTTTATGAAAACAGACTTGAATAGATCTCTGCATAAAACTAATCTCAAGTTACATGGTTACTTCAATAAAGGATGTTTATTCGTGGGAGATAACATTTAACAAGCCCACCGCATTCATCAGGAGAAAAGATCGAAGTTGGAATGAAATGAAATATGTAGAAACCAGTGATTTGTTTTGATAATGCTAATGAGAAGAAATGATGCTGAAATGATATTTGAGAAATGTTCCTGAAGTTAGACTGATGAGACTTTGAGACCCCAACATAAATGGATAGAACAAAACCATGTTTCTTTTCAAATTGAGTTGTTCTAACTCTATTAAGCACATCTCAGCGGGGTATGTGGTTGCAATTTTAGCCTACAGTAAGATGTCACTGTTATTCCGTTGGTAAAAATATGTTACAAAATATGTCTTTAATCATGTATTCAAGAACAGACATCTGTATTTGGAGGACTATAATGATTTTGTTGGTGTGACAGATGATTTGAAAATTGGCAGTATTTTCTCATTTTTCTGGGCTTAATAGATCCATATCCCAAAAGATGCTCCTTAAGCTGATGTAACGCTGTATGAATGCCAATTATATCCTTGCCCACCAATGTGACGTCTACTTGGAAAATCATGTCTGGAGTTCTAGCAGCCTCTATCTGTGCCATCTATCACCTACTTCAAGGAACCAAAAACTGAACAGAATTACTTTCAGTTGATGAAGATGACACTTGACTACAGCAAGTTATACTAACTTATAGACACCGGTGCCAATGTTTTATCAGCTCTTGAAGTAATATTGACGTGCAAAAAGGCAATTTAATATGTTGACACATTATTATTATGTGATAAAGAGTAAAACCATTGTATTTCTGTAAGAAGTTACTGATGAAAGGCTTAATATCATTATTATTATTATTATTTGTTTAATCACTTTTAGTGGGAGGGGTGGAGTGAATAAAACCTGCATAACACTTCTGATTATCTATTATGACTATAATTTGCATGAGATATACCATAATTCCTTGTTTGTCTCCACTGTAAAACCCTTTTCACATCACTTTTTTAAGATGTATAGTCTGTATTGGTTCACTGTGTCAGATTGACAACTAAAAGGTGCATTAAGAACCAGTTGAGCTGCTAGGACTGGAAAAATGGAAGTAATCTCTTCATTATCCTTGTGAAAATTATTACTATAATTGTTATAGCCATTCTAGCAAAAGCAATTTTATAAAACCACCAAGGCAGGGACATCAGAGGATGAATACAAGGTTATCAAAGCAGAAAATGCTTAAAAGGTTTCATATACAGTAATCTAGGACCCACCAAATCTCTAGGCAAGTTATGTGTCTTCTTTAAAAATCACATCTGCCTGATCACAAAAGAAAATATAATCATCCTGATTAAATATATATATGTTTGTGTGCATGTGTGTTTGATAAACGGTCCTGTTCATTTGTGTTGTATAGAACTAGAGAACTTGGAATTGTTTATCATACACATGCTGGTACAGGGACAGTAAATATTCTTAAATTTCAAACACCTAATTTGATCATTCAAATCTTTTTTCTTTTTTATCATAAGCACAAGATTTACAATATTTCACACCAAAAGAATAATTCACATAAAAATCCCTCAGGCCAAGACTGAAAAGTACACTCAGTTATGAACATATTTGAAGCAATCTTTTTGTCTTTTTTAGAATGAGTAAATGAAGAACTGTTTTGGAAAAGAGAAAATTTATGTTCACATTTAGTGAAGAATTGCTATGTGGTGGAGGAGGGAGCAGAAAAAACATGTGCTGCTTTGCTAGAAATCAAAAATTAAGCCAGACTGCTAAAAAAATACATTGCAGCATCATCAGGGGTTCTTTCTTTGTTAAGAATATCAATATTATTAAGGAAGTCAACACCTGACTTTGCGCAAATCTATACAAAGAATACTATCATCTATTATTCAAAATGGTATCATCTGGTGTTTTCATTTTGCTGACTCAAGATTGCCACAGGCATTGTCACATAGATGACATCTCCCATCAATATTTGAATAAAATCATATTATCTTAACATTTAGTTATGGACACCATGAAATTTATTGACGAAAGTTTCTAAGCTTTGTGAGGATAAAAAGATGTCTGCACTCTCACCATTCAAACTGGAATGAATTGCTACAGGTGTATTTCTCTCTCTCTCTCTCTCTTTCTCTCTCTCTCTCTCTCTCTCTCTCACACACACACACACACACACACACACACACATTCTTGCTTAAAAATCAAATGGGCAATTTTCTACTTAATCAAAATTTGAACAAATTCTATCTTCAGTTTATAGGGATTATTATTTATCTCTTTTCATTTGGCTACAGTTTTGCATACATGTAACTTATTAGTACTAGTAAATGTGAAAGGCATCTTTACACAGTCTATGCATACATTATAGGGAATTTATTGTAGCCAAATGCACCACTGCTGTTTTGATTACACACAATGCATAAATATTGACTGAAGTTGAAAATGGAACTTTTTTCCCATTTACAATAGTGAAATATAAAAACTATAGAACATGTATATATTAAATACTGTATATAAGTTTACTTACAGGTCCATACCCCCATTCCACAGTAACTGAAGACCCCTCCATATTGCTCTGCCATCTCTGCGTACCAGGTAATTTTTCATTAAGACACCTTTCTGTCTTATTTCTCGACAACCCCGTGGTTGATGATTCAGTCACTGCTGCTATTGTTGATGGCAAACCCGCTGTAACTGTTGGCACACTGCTTGCTTCTGATTCGGGTAAATGTTTTGGCGTTAGTATTGAAGATATTGTAGTTCTTCTTCTTGTTTCTGTTGTTGTTGTATTTGATACTGATTTTCCTGAGGTTCCTGGCACTGTTGTTGTTGATGTTGTTGTTACTGTTGTTGTTGTTGATGCTGTTGTTGTAGAGCCATCTTGTGTTTGAGCTAAGGCTGTACACAAAAAGATAACAGCTAGGAAAGTCTTCCATGCATCCATATTGCTGGTTGGAGCTTTACTGTTAAAACTTGATCATGGCACGCCCGTCTGAATATTTTGAAAATTCTGAAAAGATAAATAATAATAATATTGCCTATATATTTTTCTTAATATTTATTATTTTAACTTTATTATCATTGTCACAATAATTACCATTATCTTCTCTATCATCAAATTATTCTTATTCATTTTTATTTATTTTTACAAGCTAGTCATAAAACTATTTTCTTATATTTCTTGATTTTTTTCTCTAAAGTGACTGTAATCACTTTAGTGAGCAGAGGTCACCAAGTAGACTTTCAATCTTGTACAAAAGCTCTGTGAAACACCTTGCCATTTGCACTTAATACTTCTGGAGATAAATAATTGATGTGTCAATGATTGAAGTCATCTTAAACATGTTAAGCCTCGGATCTTTTAATCTATTTAGACCCCGGTATTGACTTTTGTATATTGGATTGTATGTTTTATGCATTCAAGTGAGCCTTCATAGGTTGCTATATATTATTTACTATATTTTACATAGGAAGAATTTGTCAAATGGGAATCTGCATCTTTCAGGACTGCTACATATACTTTAATTACTGGTTCTTTTCAATGGGCAAAAATTGTCAAATACCCCGTTCACACTACAGTTGCCAAAATGCGCATTTCTATAATTCGGATTTTTCGTAAGGAATCCGATTCGGTATTGCGTTCACACTCGCTAAGCGAATCCGAATCCCACGTTGAAAATTTCAGGTTAAACTTCCTGTTTTGAACACTCGCGCATGCGCCGCACAGGAAATCTTAAAATATCAACAAAAATTTGTGACGACAAATGCAACTCAAAAGACATTCCAGCATTCTTGAGAAGTATAAGGTGGCAAAATAAGTTTGTTTCCTCATGTTGTAGTGAGTGGTGACCGCCAAATACGTTTGGTGCAATCGCTAAAGTAATAAACCAGCGTTCATAGATACCCGCACTTATCTGCACACATGCGCAGTAAGATCTGTACAGGTGTCGATTCCGGTAAGTTATCCGGATCGCGCTTAGAAATCCACCTCGCTTGCAGGATTTTGAAAATGCGCATTTTCAAAATCCTCTTGCGTTCACACTACTGCATTTATTCGAATTGTGACCTAATTCGCAACTAATCCGGATAACTGAGCGTAGTGTGAACGGGGTAAAACTTTAAGTTACAGTAGTACATGACTTTATAATCTTAAATATTATATTCTATGTGGCATTTGTGGTCCTTTTACTACATAGAACAGAACTACAGAATAGCATGCTTTTTTATTTTGTTGCTACCACTCAACAGGAATGTTATACTGTTAAGAAATTGTGAGTTAAAATGTAATAACTGTAAAATTAACAATATCTCCCCATTGAAAAAGTGGAGTAATTACCGTAGCTGTTATTTGCGCACATTCTCTCTCTCTCTTTCTCTCTCTCTCTCTCTCTCTCTCTTACAACAGTTGAAATAACCCAAAAACCACAACTACGTCAGACTAAGTGCTTATCACACAAGATAATTTTATTGATAATCAGATTGGTGACAGCGTCATCAAGTGCATGCTGCTTCTTTATTTTCATATCAACACGATATTTAGAAAGTATAAAATACTGTCTATAATTAAACTTAATTTATATCGTCCTCGGCTCAGACTTAGATGCAATGACTAAAGTGAAAGTCAAACTTCACCAGGGAAGTTTAATCGATAGTCACACCCTCTTGGCGACTATAAAACATTCTTCCGTCGGAGAGACATGAGCAATAAATCGAATTTGAATTGAAATCAATCTATTTGGATGAATGTAAATATAAAACGATTACTGTGCTTTTTTTTCTGTGATAGGGCTTCAGCAAACCCACTCCAGAAGTTTTACCGGCTTTACTAAGTTAGCTTATACTAAAGTTGGTGCACTTACCTCTCTATGTGGTTGCATCGATCTTCGAGCTCTTGAATGATTCAAACTTTCAGCACAGCAACTAACAAGCTTGGACCCAAGCTCCCATACTGGATGACCTACTTTTCAGATAACCGCTTTCCCTCCCTCTACACCACAATAAATATTCTATTCTTTATCCTAAAAGAACACTGTATTGACCAAATCACTCATCAAAACTTTGTTTCTATAATAATTTACTCATTGATATAATTCGAAATATAAAAAGAACCGATATCTTCATTAGTATTGACCAAAGATCTAACAAAGGCGTACGGATGGGGTAGAAATGATGTATTCCACCATAACAGGTGGTTGAAATGTCACACATTGCGACAGTTGCAACTTATAAGCTGTAAAAAGAGCGCAATGGCCATCAGTGCGTTAGAGACTCATTGCGAGAGGCCCTAGCTCACACTTTTTCCCCGACTGTTTAGAGGTCTCCAAAATAATAAGGTATTTGAAAGATAATATAATTGAACTTTACTATGGAGCAGCGGGAACTTTTTTTGCCATCACGGAAAACAATTTTAACTTTAATCAATATTAAAATACTGTCTTATTGACCTTCTTTAACAAGCTTTTCAACTTCGTTTTCAATTTCAAACGTAGAGCTATTGGATCAGGTCTTTGAGTGGATGAGGCCTACTACTATTGGCAGAAGAAACAATGTAGTTTGACTGCACTTTTTACAATAAAATATGATTGCCTTGTCTAGAAGTGTGTTACACAGCTGTATGTAATATCATTTGCTGCGCTTTTGAATCACATCTCGAAAATCCCGGAATCTTTTTACTCACATCCTTTCTTTTCTTGCTGTGAAATTTCGGCTTTGGATAAGCAGACTCTATCAAAGTTGTTTCCGCTTGTTTTCATGTAAAATTGCCTTTTATACTACGCAACAAAATCTCGAATTTTGTTGCAGAACACAAGAAGTAGTACAGCAGTGGCAGTGTGACGGATTGTAACGCAAGCACTTCTATTCTACGGGTTGGCGCCTGAAACGTCAAAACTCGATCGACGAATCTCGCTGACAAAACGTCTCAAGTGTGACGATAGATGCACCTTCCTGAGAATAAGTGCGTATATCAGGATTCTTTTTTTTTTTTTTTTTTACCTATGTATTATACCGTTGAAAATTCATACTAAAATCTCGAAAATCCCGGAATCTTATGCATTTTCTCTTCACATGAACAGAAGGTAGTGACCACAGTCCACGGAAAATAAAATAATCAATTCACAAATCACAGTAAATAAAACTTTTATTCAATCTCTTTGAAAGTACAGGAAATACGAGTGGAAAATTACGAATCACCGGGTAGAAAGATGAGTCAGGTATGGGATTCGTCAGTCGTCACGGTTCTCGTTAAATAATATGAACCTTTAAGGCATCTCGGGTAAATAAAAAGTAGCTTTTGGAGGTAACGTCACATCACACCAGGAAGTGATTTTAAACTCATCTTAGATAAATCCAATTTTTTCTGAGAATAACGGATTTTCTTTATTTGTACAACAGTTAAAAAGTCAGGAAGAAGCTTAGGTGTCCCGTAAATATTCTTTATAATAACAATGAAATAATGCCTACTACCAAGAAGCAATTTAAACCCCATTCTATCTTTCTTTTTTTTTCTAGGAAAACATTGCTTTGGATAAACAAACTCTGTTCAACAACAGCTATTTGACTGTGGCGGAAGAGATGTCCAAACCTGATATCAACTCCCCCAATATACTATAAAATTATGAAGAGTATGCGCTTTTGGCATTTGCAGACAGATTCCAGTGCTTAGAAACCAAACAGGCGAGAGAACTATTCCCTAAGCATGGGTAAAGTCGCTAATTCGAGCCGATGACATAACAGCAGCATTTTTGTGGACGAAAACTGAGTTATGTTTATGATATTGCGATTGTGATGAATCTGTATGGTACACTGTATAAAGATATCTAGGTTTATTTACAGTGCATGTATTTGCAAATACACAGGCAATGCGCCAATTGTATTATTATCATTATTATTATTATTATTATTATTATTATTGAAAACAAAAATAGTGAGATGCTGTATTTGCTGTAGTTTCAGCTATTAGCTGCAATGGCAAACTTCCCAAGAACCTTCGTCTTGCTAGCCGTGGCCTTGACGTGCACGGCCTACGAGATGTACGCCCCCAACGGAGGCCTTTGGGGTAGTTGAACTACTCGCAAAATGTGCCCTCTGCGGAAAGTGAAGGGATTTCAGTTGAGGGTGGAGGCCCCGATAGGGCGAGGTGAGATATATGAAATTTACTATAAATTTAATTACAGTATATACAATATAATCGAAGAAATATTTCATTATATTTGCTCATCAGAAAGTAAAAGGGGTTTAATTTAAAGTATACTGAAAATGGCCAAAGTAATATGTGTGTGTGTGTGTGAGTGTGTGAATATCATGCAGGCCACCTGTCGTGCCCCATTCAGACTTTTGAAATGATAAATACGCTCACACAAAAGCACCTAATGTAAAAACAAAGCCTTATACGTCATTTAGATCCATTTCATCACGGAGATCAGGTTACTACATGAAAAATGATACTTCGGGCTGTGTTTTCCGTGTTAATTAAAGGTGCTGGATTGTTATTCAAATTTAGGAAAGAGAGCATTTCAATTACCATGCTCTTATTTTTTCTGTTAACAATCACTGTTTATGAGTATCATCGTCGAATCTGAGAATGGGTTTTGCCGTTTAAAGACATAAAATCTGTTCATTTCCTTGCAGAAAATTGTCCCTGTTGCTCACCCTGAGCTTCAGAGCTAACTTGACACTAACCTTTTCACTGTAGCCTATCTCCATCGTGTCAAGTAACCTCTGACCAGATTCGATTGCCTCCGCCGCCCGCCAATCAAATTTAAAAGCCCGCACTCAATGACTCATTAAACGATCTAGCCAATGAACGCGAACGAGTCAAAGCGCGCTTTGTTCAAATCCGGACCAATCAAAGATAAGGCTGAATATCAGGGACTTGCCGTAACCTGTGGGCAGCACGCAAATAACATCGTCTCTCAGTAGATAATGATGCAGGGCCTCAAACTGCTAGACCCTATGGTTTCAATTCCGATTTACTCATATTTTGCAAAGAATCAAGAGATAACTTAACACATTCTTTTTCGTAGTCACTCGCCTTGCTTTCTTTGTGTACGGTAATACACTCGGAACTACTCGGATGTCTCCGCACTCGACAATAACTTTGTTGTTAGTATGGAGCTTGCGGAATCAGCCGAGGATTGCCGATTGACGGTCAACCAATCAGCGTTTTCACCAAACTTTGGTGAAAATTTTTGAAACATGGATTTGATTGGCTTATATAAACTAGGTCAAACTATTTTCGTCAGAGGTTACTTGACACGATGGAGATAGGCTACAGTGAAAAGGTTAGTGTCAAGTTAGCTCTGAAGCTCAGGGTGCTGTTGCTTTGCTGTCGATAAATTATTTCAACATACAAACGAAAATTAACCAAGTTGTATATGTACGTATAGGCCTAGGTGAACTGTATGTTTTAAAATTCATCAGTTATCGGACTTAATCAGTAGGCCTATATGGCAGTTTCCTATAATTGTAAGCAAACTGTAGTGCACATTTCCGTTTCTCATTTTAGGTGATGATACAGCTCTAAATGCAATCGCTCTTTTATGCAAGGGACACCTGTCTGTTAGTGCTCATGGTGGAGTTTGGGGTTCGTGGGGACGGGCAGTGTATTGTCCAGGCAACAGGTAGTAATTTATATCTCTATTTTTTGTAGTACCATATCCAGTAGTCATGTATCAACAATGGATAGTACTATTCGTAGTTTAAATCCGCCAATAGATTGGCTGACAGAGAGACAGTGCAAGCAAAAAGAATTAATGGCTCCAAGAAGAAATATATACAGGCGAAGGGTGGAGCTGACGCGATTAAAAGACATTCTATGCGGAATTTATCCGTCAAATCGAATTTTCCTTTAAAGTAAACAGTCTGTTCCGACCACAAATCATTACTCGACCAGTCCCTACACTTAGATGCGATGTTTTATAACATTTCTGATAAATAATTAGTTGTAAATTACTGATCAGTCACTTACATCGTCACGGCTTGCTGTGCATTTTAGAAGAAAATACCAAAAAATCATTTATGGGGCTAAATGATTTTGAGACAAGAACATATCTATAATCTCGACTCGGGCTGCTGCAAGCCTACATTAAAACTCTTATACCAGGTCCTTCGATCTGATAACCATTGCCAGTGTTGAATCTAAGATCTTCCGTTTATTAGATCTTAGGTTGAATCTAATAAATCCCCTATCTTTACAGTTACGTGGTTGGGTTCCGCCTGAAGGTTGAGGGCCGCCAGGGCCGCGGTGATGACACGGCCGCGAATGATCTACAGTTGAAATGCAGTGACGGTGCAGTCATCAGCTCCAGTAATGGAGGTCCTTGGGGGTCGTGGGGGATGTTTGAAGCGGGGGATGTTTGAAGTGGGGGATGTTTGAAGCTCCCATTGGCAGAGGCGATGACACTGCACTTAACAGTGTCGCCTTCGAGTGCTGTTAATAGAGAACCGGACCTTTGCTTATCGATTTTCCATTCGATGGCATAAATATTTAAGTTTGAATTCAGAATTACTCTGTCATCTTTAATTGCATATTTTTTTCTGTCACTTTTTACTCAAAGTATAGTGGGCCACTTGCTAAGATATAGTCAAAGAAATTGATTTTGATCGCAAACTTTACCCCAACTTCAAGTACCCTAAACAAACATGTACATTTTTTAAGACACTGTACACTATAGAACCGTTTTGCAGAACATATTTCAATCTCCTCGCTTTTTGACGTGTTTCTGCAAATAACTGTAAGTGCGTTTTATTCACAAGTTAAATACTAAACAGCAACCAATACCAAAACTTGAATTATCATGATGCAAGAAGCAACATGTTGATGATATTCGTGCATATGTAGATTTAACTTGGATGGAAAATAAACAATCTAGAAAATAAGATGGTTGTTCATTACTCTTGATAAAAAAGGTGAGAAAAAGGGAGAGGGAGGGGGAGAGAGAAAGAGCATGTTTATGCGAAAATCTAAAAAAAAACAAAAACAAAACAAAAAAGAACAGTTCCTGTAAAAACCTTACTTATTTTATTTATCCTTGAGAAAATGTAGAAAAGTAAGTGTTTATTTTTAATATACTTACTCAAAATCCTGACAAAGATAGGCCAGTAAAAAAATGCTTAATAGTTGGCATTTACATCTGAACCTCCTATCCCCCTTCCTCCACTTTGTAAATAATTCAGATAGCTCTAAAGCATCGTGGAACGGAACAGTTTAATGACCTATAAAAGAACTTTCCCTATTTGGCTATCAAATAGTTGAATGTCAATAAATAAACTTTTTATTGCCATTGCGTGAGAGAGTAAAATTGTATGTCTTACTCATGAAAATAGAATAAATGCAATTACTCTTCATAAAAAGATGTATTTATATCACACATAAACGGCACAAAGTAAACATGATCACTTTCATATACTCAGTGTCAACCGATAAATAAGCAACAATGCATGTGATAATTTTTTTACATTTGATTTTTACATAAACTATCCACAAATATAGTTTAAAAGATCGACATCGACCAAGGCACTTCAATTACAAAAGTTTGAAACTGCTTGCTTGCTTGTGCCACGAAAAAAAAACGAGATTCTTTAAATAATCAATGTATTATTACTAGAAATTCAACGGAAGTTTCCAAGGTACATACGAAATTTTGCTTGGGATGCATCCCAAAAATTACCTGTATGCTACTTAGCATCTAGCAAATAATGTACAAAAGGCTCAAAGAATGAGATAAAAAAGGTTTTAAAATATGAAAGAATTTTCTCAAATCTCGCTGAGTGCTAATACTACATGTTTGACACTTTCCACGTTCGGGTGGTTTTTCGTCTGGTATACCACAAGATGGTTATTTGTCCCACTCAAAACTTTTAAAGTTTATAAAAATATAATTATAAATAAATATTATATTCATAGTCATAAGGAAGGCGTCTTTAGAAAATGGGAATCCGAACTGCTCCATTGCAAACCGAATTATATCACTTAAACGTTGTTCAAGGGCAGGAGAGACTCGACCCTCTTTAAAATCTATCTCCAGCTTCTTCCTTCTCGAAAAAGGAAGGCGTATTTACTCCAAAATTCACCCTTTCAGAGATTGGAAGATTTACCTTTTGCCTTCGTCATTAGAACCTAAAGGTCAACTGTTTAAAGTAATGGCGGTATTGCCTGATGCATTTAAACACATGCAGTTCAAATAGTGGAATCCTTGAATCTTCAAACTCAGACAGTACGTTGTTTTCTTCCACCAAAAGATGAGTAAAACAATGATAAAACCAAAATTTCTTTCTATAATGCATTGTATGCCCTACGTCTGAGACAAATGGCCTCATGTAGTCAAGTATTCACATCACACGCGGTCACCAGAGTGTTCTTCGTACGGCGGTGGCATTTGGTTCTGATCATGCTCCGAACTCCTTGAGGCATACCTCTGACCACGGAACCCGTGTTTTGGATACTCTGGCGTGGGGCGTTCCCCGAGAGGGTACTCGTAGCCCTTGTTTGAGGTCCCCTTCTTTTGGCTTCCCTCACGTGCGTGAGACTATAAGAATATAGAAAGAAAATGCACGGCGTTTTAAGGCTATAAGAGAATGGCATACACAGCAGTGATGTTGGTTGATGTTTAAGAAATTGCCGTGAGACATTCTAAAAACTGAGACGCATTACAAGTGACTCCTGAAACGTCGTTTCTGTTAAAAGGTTAGAACAGTTTAGAGCCTTGCAGAGAATTAGCTAGAGATATATCCTTGAAAGTTAAGCTAAACAAACCCCAGTTATCCTGGTAGGGGGTACTTGAAACACAGAGTGACTTTTTGAAGATTTTCGTTTTGACCAATTTGGTCCAAAGGGTTTCATTGGCATCAGCGGTATGATTTACCTTTCGAGATCGAGAGCGTTCGTGGGGTGCATCCTTTCCCTTCCTGAGTAACTTAAAGTAAAACCCCACGCACAGTAATGCATAGATCTGAAAATAAATACATACATATTTGATAAATAATTGATTGACCTTTGATTTCACGGCAATTGGATTGATTGTTTAGACTATCGGGGTTGTCGTCTTGTGGGTTTGGTGAAGCTCAATTGTGCTATAGAATACTTATTATTTATTAATTATCTAATAAGGTGAAAGTACATTTGTACAACAACTATAACCTAGCCATATATTCTATAACTACGAATGATAATTTATAAATATAAAATGATTACACAGAGATTGAAATTCAGACAACATTATAGTCCTGGTATATATAATTAATCACTTCATATGACTTTGGTGGTAAGATTAGTTCTTACTTGCATTGCTGCCTATTTTAACAGAATGAGCCACATTTTTATGGCACGTCGTTGTAAAAGATATTTAATTTGAATTGTTCGATTGCAGTTCTTTTCGTGTCCAATAATATTATACGGACGTTCCCTGGGTGCTTTTCAAAATTGGGACGTTTTAGGAAAACAAGTTTTATTTCTCCCTCTGGGGTAACAGAAAAAGATTTCTTAATAACGATTACCTCATAGCTGGGAAAAATCTGACAAAATTATGACAGTCGACTTTTTTTCTAAAAATTTTAATGGTGGTAGACGGTACAACAGGGAGGTTTACAAGACGACGACATTCGGTAGTGAAGAAAATTTTCACTTACGTTTGACGATATTAGCACGAGGAAAATGCAGATTGTTATTATTCCCCATATGACGCTCACTGAAAAGAAACGCATTTGAGATTTTTAATATGGGATTATTAATATTATTATTTGCCATACCAAGCACATCGAAAAAAATGGAGTTATGATATTTCATATCACAATCACAGTAATAGAAGTTGTTCAATATACAACGAAGCCATGCCATAAATATAGGACTATAGCAACACATGAATATGATCTTCACTTTTCACATCCTCATTTATGCAAATAATATTCAGACACCATATATATATAATAACGAAAGATGCATTGAATTTCCTGATAGCTTTCTTTAGTAATAACGAATTAACAGAAATAAGAAATGAACGGATGGATTAACCAGATATACAATTTTTGACGTGTTTCATTATAGGAATTACTTACCGTACATGAAATACATGATGCAGTCGCCGATATAGGCCAATGAGATGATCACAGTCGTAATAACCCATGGAAGAAACAGCCAAGGGTTCTTGTTTTTCTTTTTGGAAAAAAAATTAAAATATTCTGATCAAAATGTTATGAATAAATAATGCGTTTTCAAGTAATTTGTAGGAAGCATTTTATATATCATGAGCAATATTGTTTTTGACATTGAGCAATGGAAACATAGTAATAAGCATAGCAGACGCATTATGCATAGCGACAATCATAAAAAAACTTAAACTTTGACAGAACTATAAACATGTAAATACTCTATTCCATTTTAACATTTCTTATATACCGGGTATTCTAACATATACATTTAAAAAAAAAACGTTTCCTTACCATACAAACGCCAAAGAAGAGTATGCCGGAGGTGAGAAGCCATATCACAGCCAGGACTATGATACAGGTGAGGTACCCTGTCAGTGGGGCGTAGTGATTGGAGACTGTGTATCCTCTCAGGTAGTAGGCCAGATGGCTCGTGTATTCTGTAAGTGGGAATTTCAACTAGATTTTCAGGGTGTCTGTATGTCTGGCATGCAATAACTATGGTGCTCTCTCTCTCTCTCTCTCTCTCTCTCTCTGTGTGTGTGTGTGTGATACATTTAAGTACGTGTATTTCATAATGCGAACAACAGTCTCAATTTAGTATATTTAACGAATCAAATGGCTACAAATCAGAGTGAATTAAATGTCTGTTTACCTACCCCATAAATTAAACGCATCAATCCCTATCATCACACAACTCCATATCTGCAAATATAATATAATATAATATAATATAATATAATATAATATAATATAATATAAATAGGGCACTAAATTAATGCAACATTTTCCTCGTCATTTTTCTCGTGCAGTCTTCATTATACTGTCCTCATTATACATGTAACAAGTATTCATTTCGAAAGTAGTATCCGGGTAGAAAGTGACGTTATCCCCTATATAGGGGAATCACGCCATTCATATCCTGATTTATGAAATTGTTGTTTTTTTTGTTGATGAAGCCATGAACAAACCATATATATTTTTCAAATGTTTTTTCTCTCTCTCTCTCCACATCTCCCCCCCCCCCCACTCTCTCTCTCTCTCTCTCTCTCTCTCTCTCTCTCTCTCTCTCTCTCTCTCTCTCTCTCTCTCTGACCCAGACACTGACCCTGTACACTGCATTTGTCACTATTTACGTCGGAGCGTTTCCACATCCTCGAGTATGGATACGGCTTATTAATTTTCCCTCTATGAGCAGGTGACACGCTTTAATATCTGCTTTATACACGAAACCTGCATGTCTTAAACACACAGTACGCGTGCCACTGTGATATGTGACCTAACGTCTTACTGTGTTATCTATTATGCAGTCAGTAAATATTTCCCTAGACAAATGTTGAATTAGGTATCAAGGCTTCTAGGTACGGAGAGAGCAATTAATGGCCACTTATCTTCTTAACACTTGTATAAGTACATGTATTGAGCGAAAAATCGCAGGGTGACTCCGATTTTGACTTAACCCTGTCTATTGGCTTGTACATTGTGGTACTACATATAGAAACAAGCTCTATCCTCTATAGAACTATAAAACAAAACACGTCGACTGATATGAAACCCATAATCACACTGACAGGCTAAGAATACCAGGGGAGAATATATAGATGCACTGTTTTTCACTATCGTGTCTCAGATATGTGAATCCTTTGGATATTTATAATGAACGATTCTTCTAATACACCTTCAGTGTCAGCGCTAAGCCCCGACTTTCATGTTACGAATAAAGCTTGTCTCGTCATCATTGTCATTATCATCCCTATCACACTAAATATATGACACTCAGGGTACTTACCGACGACCACACCCCTGATGCGATGGTGCCCTGGCGAAGGTTCAGGCATCCCAGACACGTGTCCATCACCATGGTGACCTGAAGATCTTTGGCTAATCCCACAATTTGTTTCTGTTCCAATTCAAATGACAACGGTCGCTGGTTACATAGTTTCTAGTGGCGTTTTATAACCCACCTGTTGTTGTCAGCGATCAGGCTTTAAGATGTATTTCGATATTCATAAGACAGAAGACGCTTGGATTACATATTCAGGATTCATAAGTATATTATTGCTTTCATGCGATGAGATTCCTTTCCAATTACTGGGGCATATATATATTAACAATCCACTGGGTTTATCAGGTATTGGTAGTAACAGCTGTTATATAGTCCCACATGCCCGCGTCTCGCTGACACAAGTCGTTGATGGCTCTTCTATGTACTTGAAATGCTTGACATTGATAACCTATAGGTTGGATGAATACCGGTCTGTAGTTGTTCAGCAGTTTTAACGACCGACTCTTAAAGATACATGTACTCGTACCTGCAATCCTCAGGTGCTTGTTTATTAACTATAACTTTTTTTTTCAGTTGCAGACCTGACGTGTCTGGGAGTACCGTGAATAAAGGCTACGAAACCAACCAGTTCCGATACACTCAACTTCACCCTGAATTCCGTCTCCTTGTTGTGCTGTTTATTTTACCAGCATCAAATTGATAAGACGCGGCCACAACATTTAAAATCTCCGATGCTGCTTCACAAACTACGTGACCCGATTTGTCGTTAGCTTTCTATTGCGTAGTTTTATAAGCGCAGCCCTTGGAGCTTTAAATAAGTGGCATACCGCCTATTGTTAAACTGCGACAGGTAAACAAAACGCGTAGCCTTAAGTCGATTCATGGGCCGTTGAAATGTATGAATATAATGAATATATCGATTTTTCTTCAGCACAATGGTTGGGATTGAATTATTAATACCGCGGTGGGCTGGCTTATTGGGTTTGTTTGGTCACGGGTGATAACATTGTGTTGCAGTTTGAATGAAAATGTGGTAGTTGTGACTTGGTGTCAGTTAACGCAATATTGGGCGTTTGGGGGGGGGGGCGTTGCCAGGACTCAAGAATACTTGCTATGATGACAAGAACGGAAATGGTAGGTTGCAATTTCAAAACAAAAAAATAGATAAATAAATAATATAAACTACTAAAAATTAAACAATTTAAAAATGATCAAAATAAATAGAAAAATAAAAGGAAAAATAGAGAATTAGCCCACGATAACACAAACCTAAATAACCACAACTTTGAAACACATGACAGAAATAGTGATATATCGTAAATATGTTTAAGTTTATTCAACATTGTAAACAAAACTGGGAATTTTTTTCTCTCCTTTACCACTTCCAACATTTGAAAAGAACAAGATTGACCTTGGTCGGAAAATCTCTCTCTCTCTCCATACACGCACGCACGCACACACACACACACACACACACACACACACAAACAAACCCTAGTCTCTAAACTTGATAATATATCATAAAGTTAGATATTTTTAAAGTTTTACATGTGTAGGTGAGTTAATCTCTACTAAAATACAGTACGCAGTCTTTTTTATTAAGGACGACTCTAACTTGTAATGCTATAATCGCTAATAAACTATTTGCAAACTGTGTATTTGAGGTTACCAATAAAATTATTTTTGTTACTTTAATTATGTCTTCTATCCTCTTCAGAAAAAAAATGCGCATCTGGCTTGCACTATGGTCATTTCAGTTCTCGTATCTTGTGACTTGTTGGGTTTTAAACGGATTTGAATAAATGCTAGTATGTATATGAGCAGTAAAAAAATACTGTATCAAATCATTATTGAAAATAAACCAGCAGTCTATCTTGGCGTAAGTTTGATGTAGATGCCGTCCTCCGCCTTCATCACTAAACTTATCTTCTTCCTCGGGGTGTGGGTTGGGTCTGTGGACAGGGTGAACCTAAGAACGGGACAACAGAAAAATTCTATAACCATTACGGAATGTTTAATGAGAGTAACTAGAGACGAGATCAAAGGCGACTCGCTGTCCCCTAAAAACTTTAAACAAAAAATCTTCCTTGAAATTGTAGTTTCAAATGAATAATAATAATAATAATAATAATAATAATAATAATAATAATAATAATTATTATTATTATTATTATTAGCAAAAAAACCAAATGAGTCTACCGATAACAACAGATCCATGTGTTTTGCTAAACTCTGGCTATGACAAAATACTAGACTTATAAAACAAAACAAAAAGTTAAAGATAGTTGTTAACGGATCGTCCCCATACCTGTGTAATATCCTAGCTATGACAACCTTCTGCTCGTGCATGGCGAAATTTTGCCCGATACAATTTCTGAAAAGGGATCATGTCAAAACATACAATATCAGCCACCTTAAAAGCATCACTCACTAACAAAAACTTGGACTGACTTGACTTAACATGTTTGTCATAATATTCAAAACTAATAAATAAAGAAAATAAAGGAAAACCAAATATAAATATATTCACCAATGATAAATACCTCCAACTATACGGCATACGCATAGACACGCAAAAACCGTATGATTTCTCACTCTTGAACGGTTTAAGGCAAAATTCTATAGGAACTATATGTACAGAATCTATACTTCTAATAGTACCTTGGTCCGGCAGAAAATGGCAAGTAGGCGAACGGATCCATCTTTTCTATATTCTCTGGAGAAAACCTTTCTGGTCTGTACTCCTATGAAATAATGCAACGGGATTTTCTTTTAAATCAAATAATTATGACCTACTCCTGAGTTAAGTAACGATTGACCCAGAAGAAGAACACTCTGCAAAGTGTATTCCAGACACAATTAGGTTTTACATCAAGCCAGAAGAAATACAAAATCTTATGCGACTTATGCAATTAGGAATAACTGCGTGCATGAGAATATTTAAGAAAGTCGTTTTCATTCCCTTTGTAGCCCAAAACTTAACCGACTAGATTTAATGTTATTAACATTTTTTCTATTTGTCTATTTAGTTTAGTAACGAATAAGCATTGTGTAACGAATTTCCTGCAACGCATTCCAAAAAATATATCACTAATAAATAAATAAATAAGATATATACATACTATAACAAACGGTTCAGTTCAAAGTAAATTTTATAAACATCGATACAATTGGCTTTCATGACGTCATTGACACGTGGCTTTCCCAGCTCACTTACCATATCATTATCCCATATTGTGGGGTTATGATGTAACGTATACAAATGTAGGTCTAAGAGAAGACCACGAGGCAGTGTCACCCCATATATTTCCATATCCTTACTGAGCTCTCTCTGTACAAATGGCACTGGCGCATGGAGCCGCATCCCCTCTTTTATACACATCGTCAAGTACGGTAAATTGTGGATATCGTCCCTGCATAAATAGATTAATATGTAAAACTATTCAAGTGAACTAATTTGCCTGACAACATTCCCGCATTATAGCATAACTGCAACGTTGCGTCAATCCCCAATTTCAACGATAAAGATGTCTTAATTCAAGCGTTAGACCTTTTGACAACATCAAAATAATTATAATAATAATCCAAAAAATGTCAACATCTTTCTTTTAATTGCTAAAGTACAACCTTTTCATAACTGCCGAGAAAATTTCGACTTTAAAGCATATTTCAATGGCTTTGCCGCTAAAAATGTACAGCGAGTATCTTACCAGGTAACGGTTTGGTCCTCCCTTCCATCTAGCAGGGCGTCTATCTCCGCCTGAGCTCGCTGTTGAACCTCGGGATGTTCTGCCAGAGAGTACAGGTTCCAGGAGATACTGCTGGCCGTGGTGTCATGTCCTGTAAGAGGGTTCTGATTGTTAATGGAGTAAAGTGTTACGTTGGCGTTCGCACTGACAAATGCAGATCTAACTGAATTAACAAATGGAGTAGAGTTTTGAAATTTAAAAAAATTCAACGTTAATCCCGAATTTCTCTCAACCTTATGGAAATGTAGGTTTCGGAATTTTTAAAGATAACGATTGGTCATTATTCATACACATATTCAAAAGCCGAGCAATGACCTTTTTCTGAGGCATTGATGCGAGCATGGAACCAATAATTCTTTGCAATTGCCCAAAAGTATAATGCACGCTCTCTCTCTCCCTCTTTCTGCTATAACACGTTTATTACGCCTACCTTCAAATAAAAATGTGTCAGCTTCATCTCGTATTTCTTCATCAGTCAACCCTTGACCGTCAGAATCTTGAGCAGTTAATAAAATGTCCAAAAAGTCAAGATAGCGTGCTCGCTTTTTGTTGCTGCCTTCCTCCTGCTTCTGAAAGCATATTGTATGCTATTTGTGTGATTCACGTGTTAAATAACCTTGCTGCTTTGTTGTCCCATAATCTAACCTCCCTTATCAAGATTGCAAGTTTGCAGGAAATTCGCTACAAATTTGCCGCAAACTAAACAGTTTGCAAGAAACTGTTCGTAGGTTGTAGCAAGAAAAAATCGTTTCTGCAAGAGCATCTTAAGTTTAATATCCCTCAAATTTAAAACGGTAGGTCATTTGCATGGTAAAAACAACCAATGTACAGATTTGCGGCAATATATAAATTTAAGGAGGGAAAATATCCAAGATTCTATTTTACCAAAGTCTCTCGCCTCTTTCTGATGATCTCTTCAGATACGCTGTGAACATATTTGCAGTTTTTCTTGAACTTCCTCCCTGTAGGGCTCAGTCGCCATATCCACTCTAGGTGGAGCCACGGGGTGCTAGACAGAGGCAGAAAACATTGCCCAATCATTGAAGTCTAGCTGCTTTAAATTCTCAACGACCGTTGAATGACAACAAGTACAAGAGCTCAAGTTTTGAAACATGTTATTAAATATACGAACTGACAAATACTGTGCAGAGCACCATTTCTCAGTCCCCATGCTCGTTACACCCATCAACTCGAACGTGGAACCGCCTGTATTACTAACACAATCAAAAATAGTACATTAGATCTTGTTAAATAAAACTTATCCAATTAAGCAAATGTGTCAAAGAAAGTGTACTCCACAACTTACAGCACCCTGTGCATCATGGCGTCCTGCATCTCTGAGACAGCGTGGACGTACGGGTGACTCTCCCTGAAATATAGACATTTTTGAGACGGTGAATCAAGAACAGAGAAGAGTTTCACACGTGGACATTTCATATTGTATCCCTTTGCTTTGCTCGATCTCTGCCACAGGTCATCTAGTTGATGACGTCATTTCTTTTGTAATACTTTTCAGTTGACACAGTTAAAATGTGCACAGAATATCAAGAGAAATATCCGGTATAGTGTAGAAAAATTTTTCGACAAAAAGGGAAATATATACAAGTGTAACAAAACGACGAAAGAACCAGTAAACCCAACCCTTACTGGAAGAAAGCTTGTGTATACTCTTACCCTTTCTCTTGGATGTCATTTTCATAGGAAAATGCACAACACAGGAGTATATCTAGCGTTGCCAAACTGATGTTACTGAACAACTCCAAACGCTCTCCGGTCTCTGCGCATTGTGACATTTTATGCTGCAAAAATAACGGGATAAATCCAGTCATGTTTAGCATGGGTGATTTTATGAATTGTTATTCATTAGGACATGCACGCTATCAACTTGCATTCGCCATAAACTTTCTACAACAAGGTCTCGTCATTAAAAACACAATGTTACACAAGAGTTGCCAACATGACAATGCTCAAAATTCGAAGATCTATTGCCCATCGTCTTATACTAATAATAGATAAAGATCTCTAAGTTAATCATGTCCTAAATAATTAAATATGAATACGAGTAAATGCTTAGAGTTGGCATCTCGGGTTTAGGTAATTGAGTTAATACCACTCACCAACAGTTTGTCAGCACCTTCATTGTAAACCTGAATATAAGGCTTTAGTATGTCAAAGTGGAACGCTGGGGTCAGTAGTTTTCGATTCCGGGCCCATTTCTTTCCCTTACTAATCAGCAAACCATCTCCGAGCCACTCTTTAAGCCATTCGTAGGCCAAAAAACTTGGTTTGGGCTCTGAATAAAAGACGGCTTCAATGTGACGAAGATGGTCATAAATATTTCATTTACTTGCTGAAAATTCATTCGAAGTACAAACGTGTATTTCAAATAATGATAATGGAAGTGAATAAAAGTATTTGTACATGTTTTATAGCAAGATTAATTTGTAAGTTTTTGTAAGTTAGTTAGCTACAAAAAAGTTACTATTTGTAAAAGATTACAACAAAGGTATACAGGCGATATAGATATCTAATGCTGCACGTAGGATTTAAGCGTAATCTATTTTCTAAGACAATGAGAATGAAAGCGGTTTCTCCGAGATCGAAAATCTATCAAAGCAGCAAAAAGCAAAGCATTGAATAATTATATAATTTCAAAAGCAAGGCTTGATGCTCCTTCCACAACTTTATGAAACTTGCTAAGTAAAAATTGGCAGAATTTCAAAGGATAACAGCTATTCATTTTGGCAAAAAAAAAAAGATTTTCCTGGCATAAACGACAATTTTCCCATACTTAAGAAAGGTTAATGAATTCTTTCTAATATTCAAAGTTAGTCTATGTTTTTTTTAAAGATTCTAACAAAGGGAAATCCTCTATGGAGGTCACGTGGTCCGATTCCAGAACAATTGCGCCAATCGCCGTTTTGGTGGTAAAATAGAATTTATTATATTTCTATGAATTGTTTACAATGTATTTAATGTGAAACATGAATCTCATATGAAGAGTCGTTATCCCTTTACCGTTTGATTCGAAAATGTGCCAATTACAAGCAACAACAAAACAAAAGCTCGATGTGGTTAACAAAACCGGAAAGTTATGCCAGGAAGACCGGGAAAATCCGCAATACAATATTGGTGCTCATGCAGGGGAGTTCAAATTCATACATAGTTATTGTAGTAAGTATGGTAGCGTTACTGCGACCGTTACGAACACACAGGGAGGAAATGGAAGGTATTTTTAGGTACAAATGACGTCGCCTGGTGATAACTAAACAATACCCAATGAAACCTTAGAAAACGAAGGCCTAGATGAAATAAAGTTTTCTTAAACAAACGCAAATACATGGAAAGGCATTGCGCCCCCGCATAACACAACCATTCCGTTTCTGAGGCAAGCACTGGCAACAGAGACAAAACTATATCACGCAAAAAAGCAGGTGCAAACGCAAGTTTTACGATTTTGGTAATTATTTAAGCTTCAAACCCGTTTTGAGTCGTACGTTCACATGACGAACCAATTCTGTTTCTTTTACGGCGAATGTATATGACAAAGTGATTCAACTTAAAATTTGATTGCAATAAAGGGAACCGGAGAAGATCAGCATTGGTCAGAATTGTGCCGGAAGTGACGTGCAGTGGTGTTAGAAACGAAGCTGAGTGGTCATTTTAACATAGAGGTGAACGGCAATGAAGACGGGTTGTCGGAGGAAAAAGAAGTTTTCTAAACAACACGGTAAGATAACTCTCTTTTTTTACGTATTTTGGGCAGAGAAAACTTGTAGAAATAATAAATGCATGATATGAAAACGTGACACGAAACTTGAAGGTGCAAAATCGTGCATAATTTGCGGTCAACTTGTTTAGAAATAAATGCTGCGTCGACCACCAGCGCGACAAAAAGCGTAAAGGGGAAATAATTCCCGGGAGTCTATAAATCGTTGTCATGTGGAAATTTGGCATTAATATAATCCGACATGTCCATATCTAAGTATTTTTGGGTGTTTTATGGTATGGGCTGCAATTACAACGATGTTTTAGAGGTCTTGAAGGACCTTGTGAAAACCAGGAACTAGTTCGTAACTAACAAGTGGAATGTACCGATCTCCGACTGCTGTGCACAGCTGTATCTTTTTTTTAATATATTGACGAATTTTTAGATCTTTATATGTCCATCTGGCATGAAATTCCACACACATGATCACACTGATATACCTTTTACACTGGGGAAGGCGCTAATCAGTGACAAATGCCAAGACAAAGGTGACATTCTGACAGCCTCTTATCTGAGTTAAAAATCACTGACAAAAGAGACTGGCAATCAATTTCCTCAGGCTGGCAATCATTAGCCTATAGAAATTGGTCATGTTACATCTTATCTACCTGTGAGAATCGTTTTACCAACTGAGTATTGCATAATAATGTCAATTATTAGTACTTTGAGCTAGTCTTAATTACCTGTCAGCTCACCTGAATTCTCTTTTTGTCTTTTTGGGAAGATCTTGTCAGTGAAATGTTTTATTTGTCCTGTGACAAAAATTCGTCAATATATTGAAAAAAAGATACAGCTGTGCACAGCAGTCGGAGATCGGTACATTTCACTTGTTAGTTACGAACTACTTCCTGGTTTTCACAAGGTCCTTCAAGACCTCTAAAACATCGTTGTAATTGCAGCCCATACCATAAAACACCCAAAAATACTTAGATATGGACATATCGGATTATATTAATGCCAAATTTCCACATGACAACGATTTATAGACTCCCGGGAATTATTTCCCCTTTACGCTTTTTGTCGCGCTGGCGGTCGACGCAGCATTTATTTCTAAACAAGTTGACCGCAAATTAAGCACGATTTTGCACCTTCAAGTTCCGTGTCACGTTTTCATATCATGCATATACTATTTCTACAAGTTTTCTCTGCCCAAAATGCGTAAAAAAAGAGAGTTATCTTACCATGTTGTTTAGAAAACTTCTTTTTCCTCCGACAACCCGTCTTCACTGCCGTTCACCTCTATGTTAAAATGACCACTCAGCTTCGTTTCTAACACCACTGCACGTCACTTCCGGCACAATTCTGACCAATGCTGATCTTCTCCGGTTCCCTTTATTGAGAGCTTGACCACCAGCTGTGAACCCAATGTTATATAAGAGGGCAGTCTTTATACTGACTACAATTAGTCCAAATGATGTTTCTGGTAACGTGCCACGAATATCTATACGTTAAGTCATTTGAATACGACTCTAAACGTGGCCAAAACTTGAGCTCAAATAATGTGCATATCAAAAGAATGCCACTTAAACCTTTTATGATAGCTTTTAAGGTATCAGGAGATTTCAGCCCAACAAATGCTAAAAATGGTGTGATATTTCCCCTTTCTATCCTGGGATATTTGATCGCATGTTTTCTGTAGTAAGCAAGACCAGCTTTGTTCATTCCTGGAAACTGTAAATTGAAATCTTGGTATTTTATTAAACTTCCTGTAGTTGCAAACCATAGGACACAAATCTTTTACCTATTCTGAAGATATTTAATATATTCATTATATGTAATGAGCAAAGCCAAAACGGTTATAATTCCGATATTAGTTATAATGGGTATGTATGTAAACTTATCTGTGAAGTCATTATCTGGGAAAATTAAAATACCATCTGAATGGATTTCTACATTGTATTTTGATCCTAATTAAACAATGAAAAGCCAGCCTGTGTCAAAAACGTTAAACCTTTTACCACATATAAACATTTTACCGGGTCTGCTTTTGTTTTATTGGCGTTTGCCAAAGTTGATGTCGTACACTGAAATTTGTAAATCACTTTCAATTTTCATTTTTTTGTGATTTCGTGCATGGTGACGTAGGCCTATCCCAAGACGGGTCGGGTCAAAATGCTACATATGTCTGCTTAGCTCGGCTGGAAACCCACACAATGTGAGGCATAACCAATCAGCACGGCGATGCTGGGCAAATGGCTGAATAACCAGCAATTCTGCGGCTAGTTGCACTGGCGATTGTAAAGGGAAACTTGTCTGTACATGCACATGCATAGGAAGCTAGCTGAAGGGGTTCGACACGTTAGAATCCTCCTCCGCTATTCGTTCAGATAATGCGGAGATAAACAGTGTCAGATCTCTCCGTTTATATCGTGATACATATCAATGAATACTGCAGGTCAGTGCCAGGAAATTTTCTTGAAAAACTCCATCTTGGTTTTAGCAATTTCAGGCAAAAAATATTAAATAGGGGCTCATGACAAGTAAAGCAAAAGAAAATGTAAAAGCAAACTTTACAACTTTATAGAGCTACGTCGGGAACAGATCACAACCTCGTCACTATAAGAAGTACGTAGAATATAAACACTTGCTGTATGCAAAAAAGCGTTGTGTGGTTTGAACAACAAAAAGACGTTTTTACTCTCAAACTTTTCAGTTTTATAGCCCTAATATTAGAATAAGTATCTCATGTACAACAAACTGAGCAAGGGCTATTTTCCCAAAAAGAAGCCCTTTTTTTCGTATCGAACCCCTTAAGCTAGAAGCTGCTGTACTGTAATGATTGCTGGAATCATTAAACATGCTTTGGAAATTTTGCACTAATTATCTCACAAAAATGGGAAAAGTGGTGTAAAAAAAACCTTGCAAAATAGCCCGAAATGCGCTTGGACATTTCAATCCCACAATAGGGATCAATGGCGTTAAAAATCCTTTCTCTATCCGAGAATATTTTGCCCCATGCTTCCGGTAGTAAGCAAGGCCGGCTTCGTTCATTCCTGGAAACTGTGGAAAATATAATCTTATTTAATTATCCTAACTGAAAACTTTCTAAATCAAAATATTGGACTTCTCCGTCCGAAAATGGGGAAACAAACATATTCCAGGTAACTAAGGGCTCGTTTCCAGTGAAACTATGGCTCTAGGTAGATCGATCCAACTCCGTGCGGGACTCTCGCTGAATGCAATCAGCTTAACAGATTAACCCGACTCCTCTTGTTTCCAACACACTGCTATAATCACAAGCTTTTCTGAATTGTACGCAAAGCCAGAAGTAGGGATTGTTCTGTTTAGATGATTACGTTCAGCGAGGATCCCCGCCGAGTTGGATCGATCTAGGTTGAACGATAGTTTCATTGGGAATGAGCCTTTAATTTTCCATCAAGATAGTAAAATCCACCACCCACAGTATGGCAGTAGCTGAGTATTTTCTGTGGCTAGCTGTTTGACGACAGTTTCGAGGCACAGAAGCTAAGGGCGTAGCAACCACAGATATCGAACCAGGGGGAAAGAGTTTTTCAAGGTGAAAGAGCTTCCCTGTATGTTCGTTGCGCAGTCTACATGTAATATGTGCAAACCATCTAGACCCATCACTTACAGGGTTTTATAGGCCTATATATAAACATAGTGAAGGAAGTTCAGCGTATCAACACTTTATACAACCGTGTCATACCGGAGAACAATTGTATTCAATTAAATTTTGAGCACTCGATTTTTTTTTTTTACTTTTTCCATGATGACAATATATCCAAAATAAATATGTTCTAAACATTGCTAAACTTTCGATCGTTTCTATGTTTAGTTTCTATGGAGAAAAATCGCCAATCCTTGCGTTTATGGGACATCATTTCTCAAAGGAACATGTATTTCTCTACCCTCTACCATGGATCGACATATCTGTGAATGTCTAGTGAAAAAACAATATTTCCTCTTAACCTTGAGATTTCAGTACAGGGCGTAGGATACGGGGCACTTTCATGACCACGGACGGCAAAAGTGGTGTCAACCAGGAAACCGTCCATACGGGGAATCTCCGTGCTTTCTGGCGATAATATGCTAGTCCTTCTTCATTGGCCCCGGGCAACTGACAAGAAACAGACATGTGAGTGTATCTGTAAATACTGCAACAGGAAAAAATGAAAGGTATTCCCTTTCTTGTTCGAACAGATGGATGCATTCCTGCATTTGAGGAATAATATTTGCTACAGTTTTTGCCCATGTCTTCTTTACTTATCAATTAAGATTTGTACGTTGTGCCTGGTTAAAAAAATTCAATTAACACTGAAACTCATCAACCACGTGTAAAGTGGATTTTAACTAGGGCCTGAGCGACCACCCCCACACATTCTCATAAGAGAACAAGAGTGCTATAGAAGCTGATTTACAGGAATACGGCTAATGCTAATTTTTTTACACATTTTAATTGAAAATTAAAAGATTTGAATTTCTTAATTTTTGTCATTGCCTCTCTTACAAGACCTTGGCCTTTTTCCTTTGAAACCTTGACCTTCTGAGGATAGGCCAACAGAGAAAGTAATTAGTGGCTAGTAATTAGTTAATGTGCTATTGTATATCTATTTATCCAGGGCTGACAATTGAAAAATTACAAATTTTGACCACACCGTATCATTCATGAACAATTAATGAAATTAAAATTAAAGGGGACACAATGCCACAGTGGTGTCCACGGAAGCAGTCTTGTTAGAGCTAATTTACATTTGTGTACATCCCAGAGGTTAATGGCTCTATACGTCAAGAAAGGAGCTCGTTTGCGTGCAAAAGCAGTGTTAGTAAAATTGTCCAAATACACACATATGAGTTTAAGTGAAAGAGGTGTTTTAAAATAGAAATTTAGCGACATTAGCCTACGTAGAGTAAGAGTTCATTATCTTAAAGCTAAACCAGTCGCATCTACGTAAGAACCGGGGAATGTTATACATTGAAACAATAGTTTTATTGATTGAAAAGAAACAGACCTTTTATGACTAATGGAAAAAAGTCAGGATGCCATATATGGAGGTTAGGAAACAAAGATGTCAACCATCCAAGCTTCAGTCTAGGAAAACGGTCGACCTGTTTGCGGTGATAAGCAAGCATACTCTCGTCTGGTCGGGGAGCCTAAAATTAATCGGCAAATTATACTGATTTTGGGGGATCAATTTCATAGATAAGTTTTACGTGTCCACTTTTGCTGTTTTTCGTGATATCTGCACACTCGCAATGTAAAAATGGGTGGGGAAATTATTGTATGGGTATGTGTGTGTGTGTGTGGGGGGGGGGGGGTTGCAAAGGTACGTATGTATGATAATCGTATGTGACATGGGTTATATGCACAACTTTGAGCATGTGAAATCACCCTGTTTTCCAGCGTTTTAAAATGAAGATACAAGCAGCGTATAGAATTTTTTTAACATTCCCAAAACATTCCATAGATATCTCTCTCCGGATATACACTAACTTTTGCCTGCGTATACGACGAATTTTTTAGGGTAATTTTTCTCATACGTTGGCACTATACGCTAGATGTGCCTATATATATAATATGCTGACGCTTCACTTGCATGATGTTTATACCACTCGATAAATAAAGATGGATTATTTTAGAACGGAACCATAAACTTAAAGCGTACGTCGTTCTTTACATTGACGATGAAATTTGCATACATGTCTTCTACTGGTCCTCCAGTTATACCCCCTTGACACTGGACGGCGTCCTTTCTGCGTCCTTTCTGCGACCATGAAATTTGGCATTGCTGTGGTCTTAATAAGGAGGCACGAGCATTGATTTTGTATCAGAATGAATGCTCAATGATCGGCCAGTTGTCGGCACGTAAAGTATTATAATTTTTTAACTCTCAAATGGGGCCGTACTGCTGGACGCAGAAAGGACGCCATCCAGTGTAAAGGGGGCTTTATCTTTTCCCATGCGTGCAGAAGCACACGTAGGCCTCGATCTGCACATTCAAGTTCAAGCAGGGAAGTTAATTGTGTATGTAAACCAGATCTGTCTATCATCACCCCAGATACAATGTGCTGAACGAAGTGATCTCGAGCATATGTGTAGCCAACATGCCAAGCTGAGATCCGGCCACGATGAATCAAAAGTCTGCCCCCTTTGTCCTCGCCACGCTTACCTTAACATCCGTCCCAGGTGTAACGTTTCAGCATCCAATTTAATAAGGTAGTCACAGCGGTCAAATTGTGAGCTATTCAGATGCAAAACAATAACAGACAACACGGACACTCAGTACAGACGTTGCCCCACCAGTGACATCTAGTTATATACGTACGATTGATTTAATTGTTTTAAAGCTAGGGATATGAAAATTGCATCCATGCTGAATAAAACCTAGATTAACTGATGATGCAGTTTTCATATCCCCGTAAATAATAGTTAGTTTAATATAAGGTTTAGTGTAGCCTATTCTAGTTGAATCAGTTTTTTTTTTAATTATCCCTATATTGATCTTTATTGAGTAGTACATGTACTTTCCCTGCTTTAGTCTAGACATTATATAATGTATATCAAACTGTATATGGTAATCACTCTGCGGATTACTTCTTGTATTTGTATTTGATCATGCCCGGATGTAGGGCGATTGTCAATAAACTTCTGATTCTGATTCCGTACGAGAGAGACAGGCCCCGTGACAGTGGTTTGTACGGCTAGTCCCGACCTTGATTAATTTTTGACCCACTCACGTCGCACTAACCCTGATTTGTATGACTAATGAAGGCCGGACTGTGTACTTGTTACGCGGCACCTCGGTTTCTGAACACAAGATCGAACAACTTAAGTTTGTGTATGTTTGTTGGGGAGGGGGGGGGGGTTGGGAGAGGGGGAGTGCACTTTCCGACTTAAGGAGTATATTCACAGTGCAATATAGTGCCTCTTCGCTAACATATCTGCATTGTCTGCACCTCTTTCTTTACTACATTTCACTCAAGGGACCGCCGTATTTCCTCTTAGCTTTACCCGCGGTTATCTTTTGAACACAGCCCTTTATACAAATAGTTCAAATACTAGTAAGCACTTTACACCGTACAGGCACTTACCAGATGCAGGTGACCCCAAAACCAGTGCATGGGCTCGCTGGGCACTGGAGCAAGGATTTTGTAAAATCTCCTCGCACGAATGATGAGCCCCGCTAGCTTAACAACGCCATAAAACACTGGTATGGCTACCACTGCCAGAATTGCTGTAGCCAATCCAGATACCGCCATCTTGTTTTGACCCTCCAGTCTCCTTTTCTCTGCTTAGCGCTGATAACAGGTTCCGAAGGTCACTTATTATGTAATGCGTATGGTAATTTGAACAGGTGCGGCGCGGTGTGATCTTCAACTAGACCTCGGACAGTTGCAAGTATGTTTCAAGGAAATTCTGGTTAATTTTTTTTTTTTTTTTTTTTGGAATATACATGTAGAAATCCAGTTTACAAGTCCCCTCTTACTTTCTTTTTTAATTTTAAATTTCTCATCATTGTTTCGATAAGTTATCAATTAAAAACGATTTTTTAACTCGCACTTCTTAACTACAAAGACATGCCGTTCGTCCTTTTTTTCACGCCAAGTCCCTTTTTTAAAATGTTATAATGTACATCTGCGTTTCTGTAATAGAAAAGAACTACAATCGACCAAAAAAGTTGTAATGTAGTTGGGCAATCTTCACAGTATATAAAAAGTAATGGATGGCGGGAGCATTGTCCATCAATATTTGGTTAAAAATCACCGTAGCTAATATGGTTATTTTATAATTATTTAGATTTCGAACTTATTTGGTCGGGTATATTTTACCCCCTGAAATACTCCCTGGACTAAAATTCCATTGGGGTTACCTGCACTAGAGAAAAGACAATTATAAACAACAACGCAAGAAAATCATATTTTTAATATCATGTATTTATAAAATAATCTATTTTACATTTACAATACAGAATTGATATCAAGTATCTTATATACACTAAACAGCGTTGGAAAAAGCAATGACAAATACAAGAATGATGATTCGTCAGGGAATCCTCCAAATCCTTCGTTTAGAAAAAAATCAATTGCTTAAATATTTGGGGAGAATAAAACACGTTTTAGGTCATTGTCATTTTTGACCAAAAAGTTGTCCAAAATTTCGAAAAATGTACGAAAATGGGGTTCATACACGACAAAACATTGTGGTCAGTTTCTTAGGCATTATAAAAATACATACCACAGATCTGACCATAAAATTTTTCACAATAAAATACCCAAATATTTAAAGTAAATTTACTAATTCAAATTCCCACTGAATATTTTCTAAATTAATTTGCCAGTGTAAAATTAAGAAATAATTGTTATTCACAATCAAATAGTAAATTGTATCAAAAGTTTTGAAATATGGAATTAAGCCAAAATTCATCAGTTCATTTAATTAAATGAACAAAAGAAAAAATTCTGACCTCTTTGGCTTAAATATGTCAAAATGATGGATTTTGAGCCCAAATGATAAAAAACTATGTGCACATTTAGTACTAAATCATACCTGCAAAGATTAACAATATCTACATAGAAATAATGTATTACACACAGTGCAAAGTAAAATAATATACATTTAGAAATATACAGAATTTACAAATAACATAACACAAATGTGTAACCTATGGTTTCATGTAAGAAATTAGAAATTTTCTTTTTGTTTCATTCATTTCTATCCAGATCATTTTTACATTATGTAATTTATTGGCCCATCTTTTGAATAAAGCATTTCTCTTGTCAGTTGACTTGGGAACATTTGTAACCCCTGTTTTGCATTTGCTACCTTCTTTCTTTCCTTTTAACCATATTGATAATAATTCCCCCCTTACCTTTCCCCATTTTTCTGAACCCTTTATCTTCCACTGGTTTTCTCACAAATAATAATAATAATAACAAACTTTCTGACCTAGAAAATCTATCTTTTAAACTTACAAACATTTTTTCATGTAATTCAATTTCTTATCATTTTAAGGCTGAGAATCTGTCTTTAAGGCTACGTTCTCTCCTTCTTTTTCACTGGTCTTTTACTGTGGTGCTTGTTAATAATTTCCATAATTCTTGGTTTGTGATCGAGAATTCTTAACATGGAGCTCTTCGCTTCTTCCAGCTGGTCCATAAATAACTGACTTCTCTGTTTATTAGCCTATAAAAAACAAAACAAAACAAAACAAATACATTTATGGATACTTTAATCTACATTAAGTCTTAATATTTGAATATCAATTATGAATCAAATTTTGCCTGTAGTTGAAATCTAAAGAAATTGGAAAATCCATAAAAAACTAAGATTTCCACAAGTCTGATAAAACTAGTAACTCTGAACATTTTAATCATTTTACTAGTGCAATGCCAAACCTACAAGTCAATAGCCCTGGAACAGTGGCTTAAGGCTCATCCCAAATGGAACTTTTGTCCTATGTAGATCGATCCAACTCTGCAGGGACTCTTGCTGAATGCAATCAAATTACCAGATTAACACGCCCCACCTTGTTTCCACCATACTTGTATAACCATCTGCTTTTCTGTATTCTACTCTATGTCAAGAAGTGGATTTTTAATCTGATTCCATTCATTAAGAGTCCCTGCGGAGTTTGATCGTCCTTTGTAGATCGAATGAACCCCTACATTGCAGATGGTGTAATGTGATAGAGAGCCCCCATGACAGAAAGTCCACATTCCATTCATATGTATAAGTAAGCCTTGCCCTAAATTTTAACCCACTTAGTCGAGCTAACCCCTTACAATTTTAACCAAATGGAGGGCGGACTATCTGTAACGCGGACCCTAAGTTTCGTTACACTGGACATAACATGTACCTGAGATTGTTCTTTGATTTTATGCACCTCCTCCTCCGTGAATGGGATATCTGGTTTGGCGGTGGCCGTCTTCTGGAGCCTGGCTATCCTACTGTGGACCACCTTCTCCAGGTCCATCTGTGGAGATGGGATACAAAAGGGGGTCAAATGATAGATAGAAGAACTAGACAGCAAGGGTGGCATATGTACAGACATTAATAATAATAATAATAATAATAACTAGAGGATCAGAGAGGCGATACCGCCTCCNAGGGTATATTTGAAATCTACACATATGACTTTTGGAAAGCCGTCTATAGAAATTTTTCCCATAACTCCTTCCGTAGGGTAGATAATTAGCATTTAATTTTGCCATTTTTAGACAAGGGTGCATTGCAATGAGTGCCACACCCAGACCCCAATACCGACAAAGCCCAAATTTTACGTGGAACGAGTTGAGATTATAGGTGACCTAAATCCATGAGATGGGTACGGGGGCCCTTACCGTCTAGGAGGAGAAGCGGTAACGGTAGCCATCCGGCGGAGCCAACGGAGCCGGCGGAGCCGGCGGAGCCGGCGGAGCCGGCGGAACGATCCGGACGGGACCGAAACCATGTGTACCGCCAGCGCTAACGCTGGTGGTACAATAATAATAATAATACTAATAATAGCAGAATGATACCTTTGCCATAAGGATGACTGTGAAAAGAGAAAAATAAATTGCCAACTTAAATTTAACTGTTTTCAGTCAATAAAGTTCTGGGACAGTTACTTTGCTTAGCTACAGAACTCATTAAATGAATAAGTGCATTTATAAATGAATGCAGAACATTTTAATGAATAAAATATATGACAATAAATACCATTTCTTCTAGCTGTGCTGCCAGATGATAGAGTTTCCACCCATTGGCTTTTTGTATCACACTTTTCTGGTTGGACAGCTCATTGACTGTGGGACGCCTCTCATCTGAAACATTTATAACAAGTTGAAAGAAATGGCTTGCAAGAACAAAAATAATTTTTAAATGTTTGGTCTCAAGAGAAAATTTGTGACAAAACAAACTGCCACACATATGGTTGACATGGAAATTTGCTAGTGTTTTAAAGTCAATCTTTTTTTCCTTTCTGAAACGTTTTAATGAAAGATATTCTGAATTCAAGTTTTATATCCACTTATTAAATTATTATAGTAACCTTTGTTTAGATTTTACAAACAAACATTTTTTGTGAAAAATGTTTTTCCCCCTTTTTTAAGCTGTTTAAAAGAAAGGAGTATTCTGAATTTTTTGTTTACATTTTGTTTTACTTACTTATTTATTTATTTCTAGCTAAATCTACTACTCCTGAAATTCATACCTTTAGGTTTGACATCAGAGGCTCTTAGAAAATGATTATTCCTGGCCTTCCATGTACAATGGTAAGAATTCATTAAAGTCACAGTGTTCCTCTTCCTCATGGCGACCCACCTCACACCCTCTTCATCAGTGTATTCTGGAAAACAAATATTTGGCATTATCTTATTTATTCTTTTTCAGTCTCAGGACTTATTTGTGGTCACATCTCTTTTGGCACTAAAAGTATAGAGGCAGACAGTGAAAAATTTTAAAAGATATCAAAATACATTAATACTTCAACAAAATTCCAATCAATCTGTAATAAGTTTCATTTTGGTATTCTTTTTACACTAATTACATCCATTTTATTTTGGAATAACTAAAAACATTTTAGTTTTCAAAATGTATGCAAGGTTGTTGTTTTTGCTCATCAACTTTGTTTTGTATATTCTTATTGTAATATTATTTATTAATTTTACATTGGACATGGTGATGAGGGAATGTAGAAAGAAGTAATGTGAAGAAATAAAACTGAACGAATAATCTTTTTATCTATCAATTTATTAATAAATCAAACACAAGACCTATATTAACCCAGCAAGAACACCAGAGAATTCTCACCTTTTGGCATTGGAGGCTTTATCTCTGTTTCTCTCTCTTCTTTCACCGGGGGCTTGGTCTCCGTTTCATCTTCTGTTGACGAATCTTTCAGTTCTTCATTGATATTACTAAAATGCACAAATAAAGAGTTTCAATGTCTTGTATGCAACTTTTTCTCAAAAATAAAAATAAATAAATGAAAATATAAAAGTCAAGATTTATCAAAATCCAGAACCGTAATGATATTTTCTCCACCCCCCCCCCCCCAACTCACTCATTTTTCCATCAATCAAAGGTTCAATTTTATTATAATTTTTACCAACAGGTAAAACTCACAGTTACCTCTCCAGAAACTCAACACAATACACCTATGGAAATCTTTGCTAGATCCTTAAATAAAGTTTCTCACTTACAGGAGTTGTTTTCTGGGCTTCTTTCTTGGGGAAGCTTCCATGTTATTTTGTAAAACACTGGCCACTGTTTGAGGCACTGAGAGCAGCCCTGTAACAGATTTCAAGAAACAAGACTATTAAATTTCTTTTCAAAAAACTGAAACCAAGATCACTTGTAAATAACAAAGAGGAAAAACTTGCAACAAAGGCAAAATATCAGAAGAAAAATAATTAAAAGAAATCCTTAGGAATTTCGCTACAAATTTATAGTTTTGGGAAATGCTGATGGACATATAGTGTTCATCCGAATCATTTGTGTGCAACAAGGAACAAATTCCCATGTGAGTAATTATGGCAAATTTCAAATACCATTATCACGAGATCATCATTAATATGTGGGAACTAAAAAAACTTCATATGAGCCCAACCAATTTTTAGAAATATTAAAAGATTTCTATCTTCCACCACTCCTCCTTGTATCACAACTAATTTACTCACCATTTTCAATAGGAGCTCCTTCCAAGGGCTCTGTTTTAATCTTCATCTCCGTGGCCTGGGCAGGGCTGTTGTTCTCTGTGGAGGGGGCAGTATCTGTGGAACTTTGACTAGCTGTATCACTGAAAGATTGAACATTTCATTATAGCGATGAAGTAAGAAGAATGACTACTTTCGGTAGGGGAAGCAGCTTAGACATACTTTTTCAAATATGTGGTGAAGACATTCTCTGCACACAGAAGTTGAGTAAATTTAGACTTATCATGATAAGCAACTGGAAAGGTCACTATGTTCTTTCTTATTTCAGTGAAAATTTGGTAACATTTTACCACAAAGAGACAAACTTTCAAATGCTGTCACAGTTCACAAAACAACAAAAAGCTTTCTATGATGCCATGGTTGATACGAACCTAGACAACCTAAGATGCAAGCTTCAGTTAGACAGAAAATACAGCCTAAAACTGTTTCTTAACTTAACAAATTAAATTACATTAAAAGATGGAGAAGACAGCTTAAAACCAACATGTGTTTAACAAATTACATTAAGCCCCAAACATCCACTTACTTCTGTGCTTTACACGGTGAGCTGGTAGCAGATCTGGGGAGAGAGGCGGACTGTGGACTTCCTGCGCTGGCCTCCAGGGGGCCTGTCAGGTTTTTACGCACCAAGATGGTCCTGTAAGGACAACGTTTTGTAATATATTGAAAAACAATTTAGATCGCTGTTACTAGAAAATTTTTTTGATATTCTTTCTTCTTTTTTTAATGCACAGCAAATTTGTTGAGTGATTACACACACCAAAGCACCTGCCACATATTTCCTACCCAAATATATGTCAGGGAAGTGGAAATGAAAAATATTTTTACCCAAATTACCAAGTTGACAATCACCATTCTTCTTTACTAATACCATCTTTTGAGGTACGCTAACTGGGTCACACCCCAACCGACTGCACAACATGAAATTCTGAATTCTCAGACAAGATGGTGTCACTAAGCAATCTGGTGGTGTCAGTTAGACTATTACCAGTCCAGGTTTAAGACAAAGGTCTTTAAACATCAAATCTCTGGTTGCCTTACCCATCATTGGTTCGTTTTCTCAGAATGCTGGGTCGCGGCGAAGCACTGGGGTTGTTAGGGTTATTGCTGCCCCCTGGTGACGGCTGAGGGGTGCTGGAATTCCGCTGTAACGCCTGGACACCAGATGTTGCCGGGGGAGCATCTGAGGTGTTGGTGCTGACTAGAAAATAAAGACAATTAAGTGAGAGATACGTTTCATAACATCTTTAACTGAACTACTATTCTGACTGGTTAATTATCTATAAACATAACCTTTTGGCTTTATTTGTCAGAGAGTAAAAGAAGTAACAGATTAACAATAAGAACAGATTCAACATTTTGTATTTTTACGCAGACTACTATGACATCTCCATTGTATGTAAAATAAGCTAGGTAAACATATACCATTAATACCTTCAACCCAACTCTTACCTTCTGAAGGAATAGCAGTATACTGCTGTGTGTGC